GACTTACACTTCACAGATCCAAATTAAACTATTTCTTGTTTTTTTTCCCCAAGGTTGCCCCTCTTGCTTACCACAATGGACTTTTTGTTTTTCGAAATTCTCTGGTTTATTTGTGCGAGCGCTAAGCGCCGCTTAAGAACATATCTGAAACATGTTTTGTATGTAAGTATGACTTCATTTGTGCAAATTTGAATTAAAAGACTAGTTGGCAATATATATATACTGGCTTATATACGTGGTAGACCTGCATATGGGCCAAATGCTCTTAGACCGCATGTTGTAAATCCCAACGCACAACAAGTGCATTTCAGCGGGATTATTCGCATACCAGAAAATGAAAGCCGTAGCGAAGAGGTTGACGTCGCTTCTTTGAAGAAAATTAATTGCGGCAAATGCTTTATGATGCATAACCTGTGCGGGACACATGAGAGTGGGTCGCCATGTGGGACATTGTATGGTGCCTTTCAGTGGGTGTATTTTTTACCGTGAGTGCTTTACATTTGCGGTTGGCTAACTTTTATTAAAAATCCTGGCAAACAAAATCAATAAAGCTGACAAATAAATAACATAAGAAAAAAAAGAAACTACTTATTTTAAAAGGCAGAAACTGTTTCTGTGTTACGAAACTCAAATTGATTTTGTAACTCAAATTTAAAGAATATTAAATATAAAATATCACTAACTCGGTTATCTTTGCAGATCAAGAATGGATCAACCCTAACGGTGATTCAAGAATACACCAAAGACATGATTGCCCGAATTCCGAATTTTTTCATGTTGCATGAAAATGTTTTACAAATTCTGAAAATTCATAAGTGCAAATCACTAAATCTATTTCTTGCAAGCTTAAAAAAAGTATGCTCATTCGAGATACTTAAGGAAATGAAAAATATATGGCCAATACAATATTGTTGTATAAATAAAAACAAGCTCTTTTTCGGTAATTGTTTCAAAAGACATATTGCGCTCGGATTGCTGTCAAAATGCACTAAAGCAATGGAGTCATGAAAATTAGCCTAAGGCACAAAATCCTTTCTTAATATAAAATCAATTTAAATGCGTTGCATGTCATTTGCACCTTGTTAAAGTAATTGGATGATGTAATTGTTCAGTGTGAACTGTTTTCAGAATAATGTTTTTACTTCTTTGAGCCAGTAGAAAGGATATAAGAAATACGACAATCAGATTATGTACTGGTACTCAAAGGATCTCATCACTCATCATTTCGACTAGATAATGAGTCTAATACTCTTTTAAATATAAAAAGACTTTTCTTTTTACTCTAAAGCCTAAACTACAAACTTTTTAAATTTGCATGCTTCACTAAAATCCTTATTAATGAACGTTAACTTTTGAACAGCACAAAAAGAAATAATAGAGAATGAAATAGCGCAGATGATACAAAAATCAAATTATTTATTCATTTGGCCGTCTAAGCTTTGAATAAGAGTGATAAGTCTTCGGGTAGCAGATAACATTTACTTTCTAAACCATGCTTGACTTAAATGAATGAGTACTGTATGCTGTATATGATTAATAAAAGACTCATGTATGATGTGTATTTAAATATTAATATTGCTGTGAATTAGGTCGGAAATATGTAGCATACATATTTGGGGCAACCTCTTATCTGCGTGGGAACGCGCAAGATGTTCGCACTCGGCAAACTGACAGCCGTCATAAGCCGTGCGATTGAGGATTTGATATGAATTGGGTGTGGAGCATTGTCAAGGAAAAAATTTGAAAATTGCCTGGCAAATTGATATTTGGCCGTAACCGGATTCCTAAACTTGAGAGTAGACAGGCATTTGGGGTGGGCTGGGACCTTGTTTTGTGTTTCAGTTCGAGTTCGAGTATGAGTTTTGGTTTGGTTTTGAGTACTCACAGTGGATGCGACTAATACAACACAAGTTCTGCACCTTGACATATTGGTGCCATAAATTGGTGTGTCAGGCTAGCCAGCGACACATTTGACATTTATAAATTTACGACTGGATGTTGTGCAACAGATTGGGTAAAAGTCCAATTCATTTTCGCCAATGTATTGCAGGTTATTTGCTCGGCATTGTTATTATGCTGCTAATAAGTTGAGTATGTTTGTGCCACTTTAAAAGATGAAAGCCCAATAAGAGCCATGCATGTGTAACAACAATTGCAAAGGACAATCAACAAAAATAAACAACATTTTAAAATGAGCTGATAACCAGCTACAGCGAGAATGGCAACAAAACCGGAAACGGAAGTAACTCATAAAAACTGCATGTGCCAGCAAAGGAACGCCAATCACCAGCAGCATTGCCACGCTATGAAACACAGTGAAACGTTATGATCACATTTCATAGAAAATAATATAATTCTAACGAAAACTATAAAAAATACACTCAAGTCTGGCACTAAAATCAAATTAGAACAGAGAGTGTGCGCTCTTTGTTCCATTTTTTAGTGCTTTGATAAAAAGTGTGCTGTTTAATAGTCCCATTTGAAACTAGTCAAAAGCTATCGAGCGTATCTTTTTCTTCACCACCACAGATGAGAGCGTGTTGAAACATTAGCATATATTTGACTCTAAGTCTCAGACTCAACGTACAACAGCAAAAGAAACTCGCATTCTCGAATCGTCATGGCAATGGTAATATATTTTGAAAGCACACACTCACCCACACAGACAAAAGGAGACATTTGTACAGTCTCGCAATTTTTCACATTTTCACAATGTGGTTCGACTCATGTTATGCAAAGACTAGCCTAATTCGCATTGAAAATAAGGATTTATTTCGTGTTACCCTTAAGAGTCATGTTAACCAGATTGCCATTTGTCTTGGTTTGGACGCAGGTACAGGTTGTGTCCAGAGGACACAAGCCACTTGGCTTGTACATTAGCTGTTGATGGTTATTTATCTATTATTAAATTATTTGTTTGGCCAGTGCTTATCGAAACTTTTTCCAGCTGCAGTTGCTAGTCAAAAATCGAAGTCGGATATTTTGAAAAAGATTGTTCCTTCAACCCTTTCGTTGGCCGAGTGGCTTTCAAAAGTGCTTTAAGCTAAGTAAATCAATTTCACCAATTATATAAGCATTTGTGACAGGTGCCAAAACAAATTCTCTAAGCTCTTGTTAACATTGGCTGTGGGAGGTATTGGTTTAGTAACCCAACTAAGTTGATCGCCACTTTCTGCTTCACAGGCACTTTATTCCAGTGATGGCTGCGGCATGACAACAAAAGGTTTATACCAGCGATGGCAAAATCCATTTTATGGCTGAAAAGTTCCTTAGCCTGCTTTATGAAACTAATAACTACTTAAGCGAGTGAGTGCCTCTCTATAGACGCTTATTTCCTTATGCTTATGTGCTCTGTGTATATGCATATTTCAACTTTTGAACCCATTGTGATAACTTTTCTGCGATGACTCGTTTGCTGGCAGTTGGTTTTTGGGTCTAGCATCTAAAGTGCTGTATAATAAGCAAGTGAAAATGCAATGCATGGCAAGGATGCTCCACTAAAACATATCCTATACGCTGAACTACTGACTTATTTGTATATGCTGCTTTAGATTGACTGTGATTACATATTGAAGATATGCTTAAGTAAGATGAATTGTGTATCAATCACTATCGATTGACAGCAAACTGTGTTACTTACTAGAGAAAATACATTTAAATTCTCTAGCTCTTATATTTGAAGAGTTTAATCATGAATATTTTCTAACCATACTTAATAGTTATGGGTTCTAAAAGGGATACAGAAAATCGTTAATCGTTATGTATGATGGCATTTTTTATTTCAAAATTATGATGCCGTATCGACCGATGCGTGAAAAATCGCCCTTCATAAATAATTGAGAGTGCCTTAAATAAAAAGTGGTCATAAAATTGAAATCAATTGTAATAAAAACTGTATCCTAGATTCCTTAACATGTGCATAAATCGAAGTTAATGCCTTCTTACTGCTGTTTATAGAAGTCAGTGGTAAACCAATTTGTTTTTTAAGGGGTGTTTGATATGGTACTCAGAGAACTCAAGCACTTAAGTGGGTGTTCGAATGTGTGTGTGTGTGAGTTCTCAGCTTATAGTGCAGACATATTTTTATGTTCTTGACAGCTTATGCTTACCAAGGTCGAGTTAGCAACTTAAAGGGCCCATTAAACTTCTTAAAATGGTTCTTGATATGGAATAGGTTTACATTATTTAACGAATTTGAATCAACAAATAACAAAGTGATATTTCATCAACAATTAATGTTACCCACCTCCTTGGAAAGTTTTGCTTTTAAATGTATTTCGCAAGCTCGTCTTTACAAATTTTAATTTTCATTTTACATATATGTATATGAAAGTGTGTTCATTATTTGCACATGTGGAGCGATTAGTCCATTATGTCATTAGAAAACGTATGTATGTAGATGTTTACATTTGCACAGTGATTAGTCCATTATGTCCTTAAAAAACGTTTTAGCAAACTTGTCACCCGTGCTCATTTAGATAAGCTAGTAAAAAACTCATAACATTTAATACGCACACAAATTGAGGTGTTTAGTAAGCATTTTAACCCAGCTCATTTTGAGTGGCATCAGGTGAACTTAGAGTGCGAGTGGGTCTCACATACTTATATGGCCCAGATTGTAGCCATTGGCATTGGCATTGGCCAGCCAGGAGATAATCAAGCATCCTTCCGTGCAGTCCTTAGGCCACAGCATGAATTTGTACAAGTAGTTAAAAGCTAACATTTCCACACTTGCGAATAGACTTGGTTATAAAACACACAGCACAGCAAGGACCGCTAATCTACAGGACCGCTTCTAGCCAAGGTTCGAGGTCCATCGCTCTTGTGACTATTTACAATTCAAGTGGCTGGCAACACTTGACATTCGCCCTCGGATGGCATCGTAAGCTAAATATGTGAATAATCTATGCATATATGGGCATAATGGCAGACAGATGGTAATATAAGCTCTTCTCGCAGAGTCCGAACACTTGCCGGCGCACATGCACTGGATGACTCACCTTGAGCGAACTGGAGAAGCTTGCATAGAAACTCGCCAAAGATGAAGTGTCGCAGCAGTGTGCCGACCAGGGTCACCGGCATGCAAAGCACGCCCAGCAGTATATCGGATATGGCCAAATTAAGCAGAAAGACGTTGGTAATGGTGCGCATGCGACGATTCTGCACCAGGGTAAGCACCACTAGCAGGTTGCCCACCACAGCGCATAGGAGTATAATGCTGTAGCAGGGTATCACCCAAATGGGCACATCGGCTATAACACGCGACATGCTCCGATTAGTCGGTGCCATTGGCATGGGAACAATCGTTCCCGAACCAACTGCAGATGCAACGGTTATCGCATTCAGCGGGGACGATGTGGCCAGCGACGCGGACGATGAGATTTCCTCGAGATGAAGTTCGTTGCCGTAAATGTAGAGATCACTGCCGTTGATGCCATCGCTGATGCTGTCGCTGGCGCCGCCGTAGAGCTCCACAGCAGCAAAGCTAGCATTGAGCTGCAATGCTGCATTGGTTGTCAGCGGCGCGAGCGCAGACAGCAGCCGACGATAGTTGAAGATGGCTCCAATCGTGAGGCTGTCTCTGGGAAATTGCACTTGCACTCGCGTCAACACGGGCAAAAAAAAGTTAAAGAAAACGATAGCGAAAGACACAGCTAGCGAGCAGGCAAGCGAAGAAGCAGGACAACCAACTGGATAATCAGCGGAAGCCGCGCTGTGTGCCTCCGCTTCGTAGACTCCGTCGTGCACTGATTCCCGAAGCCCGCCAATGGTTCTTTGTTGGCTTTTTGGACCAACAGTTCTGGCAACAGATGCTAAACTCACCACAGTCATCAATATCAACATCAACACGAAAATATTAAGCAACATACAACACACAGTTCAGCAACATGTTGCCAACGGACTTGTTGCTACCATAGTCATCTTTCATTGTTTGCCTGCGATGTCGTTGCCTATTTCGTCGTATTTCTCTTAGTCAATTTGCACAATATTCAACTTTGAATACATAAACATGCACGTATATACTGACAAATTTTCAATTTTATATTGTCTTCATAGAATATGTTTGCTGTAACTCTAATAAAAGTGGAAGCCTGCAAGACTCAAATGTTACATGTCAACAGATACTCGTTATGGGCTTGAAACAGAGTCAATTAAGATTAATCTGAATTCAAAGTCTCATGTTCAAACAATAAAGTACACATATTTCGACTATGCAATTAAAAGGCTTTACTATTTTGATTTTCAATCTGAGGTATTTAATTAAATCACATTTCACATTTTGTGAATCTGACATTTTCTTTTGTATCTACTGTGAGGTATTTGTAGAAAAGAATGCTCAGCATTGCATAAACGTTTAATTACCGCAATAGACCTCATTTACATAACTAAGTAACTTGACAAAATTTGCATGTCACAAAACATTTGAGCTTCTTCCGGAGTCAAAACCGGCGCAGTCGGGCAGAAAGCTCGTGGCGTAACAGTATTATTACAATCAGTGGCTGCCAATGGAAAGGACATCATATTTGTCAAGTTAATTAGCGTACCGCAGTCGGCTTCCACTTGTTTACACCTTTGGCTCATTATTTAACCGCCATTTTTTGTTTGCCCGCCGACACATTTAAGACTGATTGTGTTGCCCGCCTGCCATATGCTCTTTGTATACCCCGTACTTATTAAAGACCCTAACCAGGGTATGTTATGTAGTTGTTTAAGTGTCAGTGTCTCTTTGGACTGTTTGTGGTTTTTATAATTAGTAAGAACTTGGGTATCTTCTAGTCAAGGCCTTCGTTGTTTCGTTTTGTGTTTATAAATCAAGTGGCAACTTCAACCACAAAAGAAACTGAACATTTTGCACAACTTTTGTTTCTGTTTTTGTTTTTTTGTTTACTTTACTTTAAAAAAGACACTTAAGATATTTTGGACATTAAGGCAAAAGTTTATCTTTATTGTTGATTTTGTAACATCTTTGTCTCTTTTTTCATTCTGGAAAAACTGACTAATTCAATTAAACTTCTTGAAGGACCCAAAAGGCACATAAATAATGCCGTTGCATTAATTAAGATCAAGCAAAGCCGTCCAGATTTCGGCTCCAGTTCGCAGCTCTGGCAACTTGGTCCATTTATTTATTTACTTTGTTTTAATTAATTTCAGTTATTGTATTTGCATTTGTTCATAACACCCACAATTTAACTAGATGTCTTAATGTGAGCAAATTAAAAGATTGCCGGAAAATACATGTTTAAATAGGCTTAGTTGAATTACCACGTCAATATTTCGAATAGTACGAATTCAATTCGTTAATATCAACTTTCGATTTCTGCATAACGGAATCGAATATGCCAGAATTGCAGAGGTTATTACAATTTGGTAATTTAAAACCTTTCTTTTTTGGTAAATCAAATTAGGTTCAATCTGCAGAGCGGGAGGAATGATTCGAGCACAGTCAATAATATCCGCACTATCGCTGAATATTCAATTAACTCTGTTGACAACTGATATCGAACATTAGCTCTGGGATTTTGTGTGAGCAAATGCCACGGTTTTAACTTAAGCCGAATGCACTTTACTCTGACATTGTGCTGTACCAGCTACACACACAAACAAACAAACAAACATAAAGCCGGGCCATAAATGTGTTGGTTAATTGGAGGAGTGAATTCAAGGATACCATCAGCTCTTAGCGCTGCTAATGGATAATGAATTGTTGTGAGCTCTGCGCGTCTAGCTGAGGATAATGGAAGGTTTTTGATGAGTAAGGTAACTTTAGGAGGCTTAGGACTGACAAATTAAGAGTTGTTAATGTTCGGACGAGTTTAAAGTTTTAGCCGCCTGAGAATTACATACATACATATGTAGCTCGCATTCTTATCCTTATGATGTTGCTTTTCCTTGGTCGTATAGTCATCAAGCATTCATAATGCCACAATAGGTAAGCGGAATTTAGAGCTCCTTAACGACTTAAGAAGACCTCTAGTCCTGACATCTGTTCAGTTGTTTATTAAATGTCTTATATTTTTAGCAAGTTCTTTGATGATTTGAGTTACCTGGCCGAGTCCAAGTCAGAGTTCAGGACTTGTATTGGCCTGTGTTTACTCATTTGAACGCAAAATTTCTTTTTGGACTTCACTGCAAAATTTCTGGTTGGGGCCTTTCGAAAAAGTTTTATTTGTGTTTGCACTGTGATTTTGTTTGTGGCATTTCTTTACTTTGTTTGCAGCTAATGCCAGCATTTTATGGCCTTTTATTATTATTATTGTTGTTTTTGTTTTTGTTGCTGCTGCTGCTGCTGTTGCTGTTGCTGTTGCCGTTGCCATTTCTCTTTTCTTGCTCCTTTCGCTTTCTGTAAGCTTAAATTATGCTGCAAAGTGCAGTACTAAATTTGCCCCCAATGGCAAACGCGGTAAATACATAAATCGAGACAACTTAACAACAATAAAGAAATCGACAATCCGTGCTAAAAGCTTAAAACAAAAGCACTACCTCGAGCACCATTGCTCGTCCCTGGCCACCCACCTTTAAGTTCATTAGGGGTCGGTCCGCAATCTGTTTGGGTGTTGACTTTGCCTAACTTGCAAACGAGATTCATAAGGATGGGCCTAAGCTAATAAATTCCAAATATATCCAAGATATTATTAAAACATCCTGGTGAAACAACCACGTTCCCAGCCATCTTACACTCATTGTACTTGATTATATTCGAAGACCTACTTTCTCCAAGCCAATGCCATACTATTTTTCATTGTGCTTAGTTCATCATTTTTTATTTTGGTATATTATTGCAATTACTGAAATTAATTTCTCCGAATTCAAATGCCCAATGCATTAGTTGGAGTATGTTTTTGTTTTCGTCTTAAATTCAAATATATTTACTATTGTGGAAAAAATACACTTTTATATATACCCTGATACCGAAGGTAAATGGCTATATTGGTTTTGTTCAATATTGATCACGGAGTAGGAAGTTTTTGAATTGGGATACCACGCTCACTAGGAGGTTAAAAATCAATAGACCCAAAATTGAAATGGTTAATTATTGATCATGCAATAGTCGAGGCAAACCCACCCCCACAAAAAGGGTACTTGCTGATAAAAATAAAGCCGGTCCCAGAGTATTCCGCAATCGGGTACACAGCGTTCTGCAGCGTTCTCACATGTTATTAATTATGTTCTGCCATACTGGATTTATGTTTTGTGTCTGCCGTTGGTTGAACATGCCTTGTGCGCACATATATTTTATTATACATGCTCCCATTCAAAAAAAGCCAAAAGCCCGAGGCATCTCTCCCTGCTTCGTTCTTGGGCTTAGTCCGATTTCACAATGGGAGCTTGGCCCCGTTGCAGCCCTCGATGCGCATTTGACAGGCGGCGCACGTTTTTTTTTTTTTTTTTTTTTTTTTTGGCCAGACCAAACACGAACTTACCTATACACATGACTACACACCGCCAACCATAGACATGCACATGTTGTGTATACCCTGTATACATTCAAGTAGATTAAGGGAGTATTTTTAGGTATATATATACATATATCTCCGTTGCTCTTAGTCGATCTCAAAGACTATATGCTTAAGATATTGACACAATATATTGATGATGACAAATGTGTTCGAAGGTAATGAGGTACTTTGGATAGGCTACAGGCTATTTAATAGTCAGACACCTCTCACCAAGAGCCCTCTTCCTCGCTTAAATTGGGTTTCTCTTCAACTTGACGATTGCCATACGCCCTACGGTCTATGTAACGGTGAAATGTTTATGTCTGCATTTTTCGTCCATATTTTGGAGTAACATTACTACGTGTGTGACATCTTGTCCAAATAAATCAAACACAAGACACCCTCCCATCCCCTCCACATATGCCCGCGGTACAGCATAGGCAAATTGCTTGTGCGCTGCTCAGATTTGTTACCATTAACTCACGGCCATGCATTTGGCTTAACGAGCAAATGTAATTTACTCGCTCAACCTGAAATTGAAAAAGCATGCAATTTGTATGGGAAAAGCCGAACAAGCAAGTTGAGCTGCGAATGGTTAACTTTATCACCTGACTGGATCTGAGAGCAGAACCCCCTTAAAGTGTTATCTAAAAAATTACAGCATATAGCAAAAAATAGAGACCCGCTGCGTGGCTACCGAATCAATCAAAGCAGGAATAATACTAATAGAATCGTAAATGAACGATGACCATCCACTGTGAAACAGATTTTAGAAGATGACTTGAATCTGTTTAACACCAAACAAAAAATATAAATATGCAAACAAAATAAATAAGTTCAGCATACATTTCATTAAACACCTTAAATTAGAAACACATAGTACACTTGTGAGTTTTAAACTTTGGAAATAATCTTTCATACAGCTACCTATTTCATTACCTACCTATTATTATAAACTTTACGAACATGTTAAATCTGCAATAAATGCCAGAGTGTTGATTAATGCTTGTTTTATATCTGAAATGCTGAGATTAATAATGCATTTACCAGTATCAGGCATGCAACAGAAGCCAGCAAATACGCAAGCGACATTACGCGTGCAATATTTTAATTTTGATTGATTGCTATGCCATCATTTATGGATCGACACCACATCAACGTGGAAATGAAAAGTGACTTAAACTCCCAGTTCTGATGAATGATAGCAACCGCAGTGCGAACCAGTGATTACCTAGAGGAATCAAATTTGCAATAGACAACATTGGCACCACGTGCCGCTGAATTCAGATACCCGTCAATTTCAGCTTACCCTGCCCCCCCTTCCGGGCACACAATTGTAGCCGCATTTCAAGATAAATTACAGAACATAAAAATTCCAAAACCTACATAAGATAG